GACCTAAAGAGATATACCGAAAAAATGTAACCATCGTGAACCATGACTAGATCACATGGATCAGGCAAGCAAAAAAACAGATCCTATCCAACGCATACTTTGGCGGACACTGAACATCTCCTTGCGTAGGGTCTATCTGTTGCAATGCTTCTACTGTTTTAAATTTTTTTAGGCTGCGGCACGTAATGCCACTCGCCTCCTCGTCCGACGAATCGCTCATCTACTTGGGCCAGCTTTACATCACCACATCTCTAGCGGGTGCAAGTTCACATCTTAAGCTCTTCTTGCCTCGCTTTTCACCGCGGCGTGCTCACCTGCTCGAGCGTGTATCCAGTACTAACATACACAGATGGGGTGGTACTACAAGAATTGTTAACTGGTGAAATCTCAGAAAAGACATCAAGGGTGTTCAAGTGTACTATTTCTTAACTACTTATTAAAAATTTTCAGAATAAAACATTACATAAGACATATTTTAAATCAAAACATATATACAGATCAACAAGAGAGAAATTTTATTTATTGTACTTGGATAAATAAAGTTATTAACTCCCCAAATCCAATTTTATTTCTAAAGAAGCCATTTTAAAACAGTACCTAGGACAACATCGTGTCACTCTCTTGTCACTTCTTTACAACGGAAAATGATGCTTTGAAATGTCCTGGTTTCGTTTATCCAAGTCTGAAATGTTTACAACCTCTTTTTCTATCAATCATCTGACATTGAAGAACTGTCAATTTCATCTATAAAAAATTTAAAGTGTTAAATATGAATATTACTAACTTTTAATGATGCATTTTTTAAAAGCCTAAAAATTACAGTAGTATGTTTGACATCTATTAGAAATTTAAATGTTAAAATGTGGTTTGTTACTAACTTTAAAATGATATACTTCTCTTAATGAGACCTACCAAAATTTTCAGCCAGTACTTTTTGAAACATATGTATTGAAAAAAATTCTAGATTCCCCACTCTATGCCCTTCATCGCCACTGATACTATATAGATATTATTATGAAAAATCACCTTTTTGTGGAAAAGCAGGTGACAATATAAAGAATACACTGTTATAGAATAACTATTTGGAAATTATTCAACTCTTTTGATACAGTAACATAACCATTATCTGCCTAGTCCCTGTAAACGAGATGCTTGGGTTATTCCAGATAATAAGCCACCTATCTGAAGGGTCCCAGATGGTGCCGTTCTCTTCTTTAATTCAACCCTGGTTTATCTGATTTTAAGGAAAATAATAAAAGTCAGTCCTGGAATAAATACAGTAAAAATCCTATTTTTAAAATTAAGATAAAATAAAATATTTTAAATTATTTTGTTTTTTCTAATTTAGAAAAGGAATTATAGTCTCTAGGGTAATTATAAATGTTCTTCCTTTGCTTTCTAAATAATACTTCAAAATATAAAGAGCCATAATTAAAAAGGAACCCATTATCTACATTCCAGTTTAAATAATGTGAAGCCTGTCTGGGCACGATGGTTCACGCCTGGAATCCTAGCACTCTGGGAGGCCCAGGCTGGAAGGAGGATCTCCTGGGTGAGTTCGAGACCAGCCTGGCAAGAACAAGACCCCATCTCTACAAAAAAAAGGAAAGAAAAAAATTAGCAGGCATGGTGGAATGTGCCTATAGTCTCAGTACTCAGGAGGCTGAGCAGGAGAATCACTTCAGCCTAGGAGTTTGAGGTGGCAGTGAATTATGCGGATGCCACTGCACTCTAGCCAGGGCAACATTGAACTGTCTAAAAGAAAAAAAAAAGTGAAGCCCTCATGTGTCTCTCCATATCATATTCCCTCCCTTTCCCACAAGAACTGACTATCTGAATTTGGCTTTATCAGTTTCATACATGTCTTTAACTTATACAATATTCCTAAATAATATACAGAAGTGTTTTGCAGTTTAAACAAAATGTACATAAAGTAGACTACTAAGTGGCATTCTTCGGCAACTGCTACCCTACTTACAACATTGTGAAATTTATGTATGTTGAACCCATAGTTCAGTTTTCTCATTTCATTATGGTCCAATATTTCATAGTCTAAATACATGGGTGTGTTTACATGATAAATGTAATATACAATTTTTCATCCATTCGCTTCTCTTTTTTGTTAATGAAAGAGCTGAGATATTCAGGGAGGTAGACTGATAGATAACAGAGGAAAAAAGAAGAAAAAGAAGTAATTAGAAATAGCACATTTACCTCTAAGCAAGTGTTCTGGAAAATGATTTTATAATATCTATTAAAATATAGATATATTAATATAATACCTATGTCAAATATGATTCCCTATAATCTAGCAAACTTACTGCTAAGAATTTACCCTCTAGATATACTCTCAAAAGCTAATCTAGGCATATGTATAAAAAATATCCATTGCTATTTGAAACAGAAAAAACTGGAAAACCACCTATATCAACTGGAAAAAGACTGGTTAAAAATAATTATTGTATGTTTATATGACAAAGGAGAATAGACGGTAGACAGATTTTAAGGTTTCAATAAATGCCCATTTCCCCCCCTCTAAACTAATAAGTTTTTTTTTAAAACCAGGTTATAAAAAAGCCTTGTATCAAATTTATCTGGTTTTTAATATATGAATACATATGCACAGAAAGATATCTGAAAAGATATTCACCAAAGTGTTAACAGGGTAGAATTTGGGAAACAAATTCTTTACATTTTCCTTTATTATTTGAATATTTTCATACTGTGAATATATTATTACATAAAACAATAAAGTGATTTTTATTTTTTAAAAAGTAGGTATTATTTTCTTTTAATGAGGTATATAAAACAGTTCAGATTCATATATCTGTTACTTAATTGTAGAGTGTTCAGACATTACTTTCAGCTTACTAAACACTCTTGTAAATTAATAAGTGTAATACCAAATCTCAGGAGAAGAACAACTCAAACTCACGTAAGGTGGAATAAACTACAGATCAGGAGGGCAATATTTGGTTCTATCACAAAGTAGGTGCCAAGATCTGGGAAGTCATTCAACCCTTAGGGCTTCATATTTTTATTTATAAAAATGGTTTAGAATCAACATTAGCATGGTCTGTAGCTGTGCCAGTCTGCGAAATGAATGGTTTGTTACTGATCTACAATGAGATAAGAAGGACTTTATACCAGATTATAAATTAACAACATCATTCAGCACACTGTTTAGTTTACTGAGAGTTTGTTGAAACGAGAATTTTTTGATGAAGGAAAATAAATGCAGTGACTTACATTCTGAGACAAGTTTCTTATTTCACTACAAACCAGCATTTAGTGCAGCACTAGTGTAGATTATTCTTAAAGACCCTTGGGTCAGAAAGTTTATGAAATTAGATTGGCACTTAACTGAAATCACATACTAATGGCAACCCATGTATGAACAAGGACTGGGGAGAAAAAGATAACAAAGAATACTAACAAAAGTGGCTCAACTATCTTATTCCACCAACCACTCCCCCAGATAGAGAAACAAACTGTGTTTAATAATGAAATACAGTAATTCAGATAATATCATCCTAAGAAAAATCTTACCTTTCAATTGCCAAGATTTCTATTCCTGCAGCACTGCTATTTCCGTACTTGAAGGTAATTAGTTCAGGATGTTTCTTTTTGGATGTAATTTTAACTACAGAATTTAGTGCTTGTCGAGACTGTATATAAGCCAATCCTTTCCGTGAAAGAATCTCCCTTAAACAGTACATATGTGTTGCAGTAACCAACAGATGACTTGAGAGAAAAAAAAGCATGACAAGAAAACAAGAATTTTAAATATATGTAATTCAAAATAGGTGCTGTTTCAACAGTCCCAATTATTAAAAAAGTTCAACTGTAAATGAAATTACTTTTGAATTTAAAAACATATACAGAGGATAATCTATAAGTAAGCTGAATAATAGAAGTTTTTAATTTTCCTCTAATTGTATGCAAAATTAATGTTTTATTAACAGATTATCCTGAAAATTCCACCCGCCTCGCCTCCCAGAGTGCTAGGATTACAGGCGTGAGCCACCTCGCCCGCCGAACCTATAATTTTTCTCATAAAATTTTATATCTAGATGGCACTAAAGCATTTTTAGATAAAGCTATTTATTACCTTTGTTTTGCCTTGTATAAGAAGCTCAATCTGAGTTTCAAAGATGTTTGAATTATTTCTTTCATTTTTATCTCTCTCTAATGAACATAGTTTTGATAATTTACAGGATAATTTACATTAGATATGTTTTAATATAAAATCAAATCATTTTGTGACTTTTAATCAACTTTAAGCTATGTATTGATTGACTTGTAATTTCCAAAGAGTATCTGTTATAAACTCTCATTAGTTTTTATTGAGGAATGTTGTTTTGCAAGAAGTAAAAGATTTAAGTTTATTTCAACAAAATTAGGCTACAGTAAGATTTTATTGATATATATTAAAATTATTTAAAATATAGATTTGATCTCTATGTTCTGGGAAAATTGAATTCTAAAACTAAGACACGTAACGTGATTCTTTTTTTCCACATTGGAATATCTCTTCAAAATAGAAGATTTGCATGTCTTCATATATCACATGCCCATAAAAAATGCTAGCATTTTCCTTTGTAGTAATAATTTTAACTGAACCTTATCGTACTAGAAAACAATGCTCCCCCCCAAAACTTGTAGTATTTTGTTGAGATATCTTAATTTAACTCTTGTTTATTTGGGGTTACCTGAAAAGTACTCAGGTATTAATTTTTATATTAAAAGAGAGAGAACACACTTACTGTAGAAGTAATCAAGTTCAATTTACATGTTTATGTTCTGCCTCTTCTTTCTTTCTTTCTTTTTGTTTTTTTTTTTTTGAGACAGGGTCTCTCTCTGTCACCTAGGCTAGAGAACAGTGTCGTCATCATAGCTCACTGCAACCTCAAACTCCTGGGCTCAAGTGATCCTCCTGCCTTAGCCTCCTGAGTAGCTGGTACTATAGGCGCGCATCACCCCACCTGCCTAATTTTGTATTTTTTGTAGAGATGTGGTCTCGCTCTTGCTCAGACTGGTCTGGAACTCCTGGCCTCAAACAATCTTCCTCCCTTGGAGTACAGTTGTGAGTAATAGGGCCTGGCCCTATGATCTGCCTTTTGAAAAAGAAAAATTCTTTATGGTTTGTTATACTTATTCAATAGAAGAAGAATCTTAGTTTCAATTAAAAAAAAGTAAGCTGGACATGGTTGCTCACACCTGTATTTAGCACTTTGGTAGGCTGAGGTGAGAGGATCGCTAGAGTTCAGGATTCCAGACCAGCCTGAGCAACATAGTGAGACCCATCTCTACAAAAAAATTAAAAAAATTATCCAGGCATGGTGGTGCACACCTGGCATCTTAGCTACTCAGGAGGATCGTTTGAGCCCAGGAGTGGTAGGTTACAGTGAGCTATGATGATGCCACTGCATTTCTTTATTTTCTTTTAATTTCCTTAAATTAGCTATCTTAAAACTATGATTACATTGTAGGGGAGGTAAAAACATTTACATTTTGTTTGAATATTCAAATGTTGCTTGGTAAAATCTTTGAATAACATCATAAGTGATAATTTCCCCTGAAATTCTTGAATTTAGGCATGTGAGCAGCAGTGACAGAGTGGGCAAGCCTTACCGTGGTGTAAAGCCTGTTTTCAGCATTGGGGATGAAGAAAATACGACACAGGTGTAGTAATACACTTATCTACAGACTGCTTTGCTCAGTCACTAGGAGTGATTTATAGAGGTCATTCTGTTACTAGGCAAACAACTACATTAAAAGAGAGAGAGATTCTGTAGAGAGATTGGAGAATCTGGGGTTTCTATTAAGAATCAGTTTTTAGATATCTGAAATTATGCCTATTAGAAATCCAAGCAGAAATGTTGAGTAGGAATAGGAGTCCAGCTGAGGAGAGGTCTAAGCTGATGAGGATTTGGGCCTATCAGTGTAGAAAAGTATTTAAATCCCTGGGATTGGATTTAATTCCCTTTGATCACCCACTTAAGAGATTAAGAGTCATGGCATAAAGTTAAGAGAATTCCAAAATTGAGACATCTGAAGAGAGCGGTTTTTAACGAGGAATATCCTAAAGGGCCACAAGATGGGGATATTGTGTCAGAGAAATTTGTTATCTTCTGTTTGGATGCTTTAGGTTTTAAAAATAATTTAGTCTTTGGTTTATAATCCTACTGCCCAATTATCCTAATTAAGCAATCATAATTAATATTGGTTAATATGTGTATTGAGTTTAAATATATATATAAATGTATAGAATGAAAACAAAGACTCCTAAATCTCACCTTGCTTTTTCCAGTTAGTAATACATGTTGCATATTTTCCATTTCAGCCCATATACCTCCTCATTTCTTTCTGTCATATAAACATACAATAATTTATTTAACCAGTCTTTTTCCAGTTGATATAGGTGGTTTTCCAGTTTTTTTCTGTTTCAAATAGCAATGGATATTTTTATACATATCTAGATTAGCTTTTGAGAGTATATCTAGAGGGTAAATTCTTAGCAGTAAGTTTGCTAGATTATAGGGAATCATATTTGACATAGGTATTATATTAATATATCTATATTTTAATAGATATTATAAAATCATTTCCAGAACACTTGCTTAGAGGTAAATGTGCTATTTCTAATTACTTCTTTTTCTTCTTTTTTCCTCTGTTATCTATCAGTCTACCTCCCTGAATCTCAGCTCCTTTCATTAACAAAAAAGAGAAGCGAATGGATGAATAAATTGTATATTTACATTTATCATGTAAACACACCATGTATTTAGACTATGAAATATTGGACCATAATGAAAATGAGAAAACTGAACTATGGGTATCAACATACATAAATTTCACAATGTTTGTAAGTAGGGTAGCAGTTGCCGAAGAATGCCACTTAGTAGTCTACTTTTTATGTACATTTTGTTTAAACTGCAAAACACTTCTGTATATTATTTAGGAATATTTGTATAAGGTTAAAGACATGTATGAAACTGATAAAGCCAAATTCAGATAGTCAGTTCTTGTGGAAAGGGAGGGAATATGAATAGGGAGAGACACATGAGGGCTTCACTTTTTTTTTTTTCTTTTAGACAGTTTCACTTGTTGCCCTGGCTAGAGTGCAGTGGCATCCGCATAATTCACTGCCACCTCAAACTCCTAGGCTGAAGTGATTCTCCTGCTCAGCCTCCTGAGTAGCTGAGACTATAGGCACATTCCACCATGCCCTGCTAATTTTTTCTTTTCTTTTTTTTGTAGAGATGGGTCTTGTTCTTGCTCAGGCTGGTCTCGAACTCACCCAGGAGATCCTCCTTCCAGCCTGGGCCTCCCAGAGTGCTAGGATTCCAGGCGTGAACATCGTGCCCAGACAGGGCTTCACATTATTTAAACTG